TAGGTCACCAACATTTCTGAAGACCAAGGACTATGTTTTAGCGAAATTGGCTTTTGAATGAGTATGTTTAAAGAGGGCTCTATTGATTTCACTTCAAAGTAAATACCTTGCGAAAAAGAGGAGTTTTCAAGATTTATCCCAAAGTTTCCTCCAAAATCTTGGATCAATTTGAACACCAACTTTAAAGCACAGCTCCAGGAGTGAAGAGCCACACATAACAAAGTTAGACTGAAAAAAGTTGCATCGTGCACCAATATCTTAACGGCAGAGAAAGGGAGGAGATGTATCCATCACTAGTCACACTGTCTTTCCTTGTTTTAATTATACCAGAGGTTTAAATGAACCACAAAGGAAAACGGGGAACAGTGCAAGAAGCCACATCATAGGCTGCAACTCTTGCCTGTTTCTTAACAGATTAAACAGAAAAACACATTAATTTGCAGGAAACTCGTGCATTTTTTTTTCCTGTGTGGAAAGATAAATGTACACACAGGGATGGCTCAGGGGATGGTGGCACAGTGCCTGGCCTAGCCCGGTCTGCCCATGTTGCTGGAAGCTGAAATGCTTTGCTTCGTGGTCAGGTATCATATAAGGAGTGTGCTAAAGAAGACCCTCACGCACTCTCCCAGGAAGAAAGCCAAAGGTCCCGTCTGCCTAGAATTACTCAGTCTGATCTTTGCATATCTGGTTTAAAGCATATTATCCTGGTAACTTTGCCAGACTTTGCATTTCCCATATTAAAGGTGACCCAGAGCTCAGAATTTAATTCCCCCACATAAAGATGTAAACAATCAGCTAAGCAATTTCTGCCGGGGGGAAAAAAAAAAAAGGCACAGTTGGCTATTAGACCAATTGAAATAAAATGACTATTTTCTTCCTTTAATTCAGGAAAGCTCATTATATTTATAGCTGATGTCATGGAGAAATCTTTTACTAACAGTAGCATCAGTAAAAAAAAAAAACAACTACACTGGTTCAGGTGAACAGAACAATAATAAAATCTCCTCCCTTAAATATTACCACATTCTCATCGCATACCCCAGGATTAAGTCGTGTGAATGGGCAACAGGAAAAACCCAGGAGTATCCAATTACAGGAAAGAGCTGCTATTTATTTATTTAATTCCCCCTCTGCTTCTCACTGTGTAAGGGGAAAAAAAAAGGCGCTTGTAACCGATTCCAAGAGCTGCTCCTGCTTGGGAGTTTGAACACAGGAGTAACAAGATAAATTCCCCGAAATTCTAATTGGAGACCAGTTGACTTAATTGGGGGCCATTTGGCAGACAATGGGGAAGGGGCACTAGTGGGGGCTGATGGCACCCTAGGGGGATATAACCTTGCAGCAGGCCACAAAGCTCTTGGGGACAGATTGTTTCCTGAGAAGAAACCATGAGACCGAGGCTTGGATTAACCCTCCGACTGTCAAGCTTTATTAGGAATAATCGGGCTAGATGTAGTAAGGGTTAAATGCAGGAAACTGAACCGGCCACAATGGCATATGTCCCTTTAAAAACATGAAAAGCAAAGGAGAGGCAGAGGGAGAAGGAGCTGGGGAAGCAAATACATCTAAGTGAACCCAAACATCGTTCTGCCTCAGCTGAGGTGGCTGCTGGTTGCTGAATTTTGTCGCTCGGCGGTGTTACATGTCACCCAGTCGTAGTTTCTGACTTTGCCTGTGTTTACAGGCTACGTTATTTCCTGATTGCTCCTTTTATACAAGCCAGAGTTAATGTAGAAAATAAAAGGTTACTTTGCTTGAAAATGCACAGAGTTTCTAAGGGCCTGATCCTGCACTGCCCAGAGCCACCAGCCCTAACAGCTACGGAGGGACCGGCTATTTTAGTGTACACAAAGAATTTTTTAAAGCGGGTTTGTTCCTTACTCCTTGGATGTACAGAATTGCAGAGGGAGATTTTATTAGAGCAACTACTATAAAGCAGATACAT